CATATCAAAGAGTCATTTCTACTGGTGTGTAAGTAAAATGAGGAGCACCCAATAATCAACCTCTTCACGTTGAATTGGAGCTAAGATAATGCTCAGGTTGCTTTGTATTAAACTTAATTTAACTTGACAAGGAATGTGAACATTGCTGCTAGGGGTGGAAGGGCAGATAGAGTTACTCCAAAAGGTTCAAACAATGGCACCTAAGCCAACAAGTTTTTATATGCCGTTTAATTGAATGCCCACTTTCAAATAGGAATATACACAGCGCAGCGTTTCTTATGCTTATGCGAGCATAAAAATGCATTGATATGTGTCAGGTAAGCATTTACAAATGTCACCATGCATAAGTATGAGCGAGTAGGCATACTTATATACTCACATGTTTACCCTGAGGCGTCTTAATTAAATTTTCAAACAGTGAAATTAACAAACTTACATTTCTACACTAATTTTACGCGTTTACACTTTTATTTGCTTGTCTGTGTGGAGTTCATTTCATACGTACATAAGTACCCAGCAAAAGAAACCGATAACAACAGAAATTAAAATGGAATCGAACTAGGCAATGGGAACCGCTGACCCTTTCGCTTCAAGAAGGCATTACTTTAACAGGGGAATGAAAGCCCTTACCGGCAGTATTACCCTCGAACCAAGAGAGAACACTTTACATTGCGGATTAAATTCAACAATTTATATTGAGCTCGAGGCCGTTTTATCGATTGTACCATCGATAGTATTGATAGTTAAAAAAAAAAAAATGTAGGACGTTCTACTATTCATTACCGGCAGTGCCTAAAAGAAGCGAAAAAATTAGAAGGCCATGCGTTCTAGAACACGTTAGCACTAGGAGCGATTACCGATTTTTTGCTGGGTAGTTTAACGAATTTCGTTGTCAGCAAAATGACAAAACAGTGAAATACCTGCTTAAGCTTAGAAGCAAGCCACACATACTCACTCGGGGGTTTCATGCAAATATATATGTATGTATGTATGTTTAATTGTCCAGCAAAGCTCCTACGGCTTAGTGCTCATTCTATGCCGCTTCACATTCCGTACCTCGGCAGTTAAGGCTAATTGCAATTGTTTGTGCTCGACGCAGTGCGGTGAAAAGTTGCAATAAATAGAACCTGGGTATTTGGGTTTATTGTTTGGAATTTTCGTATTATGGTATTTGAACATTTCGCTGTCACACAATGCGAAATGAACATAGATTACTTATGTGGAGCGCGCAATAATTTCACGAAGTTTTAAAGAAATTAGTAAAGGTAAAAAACTGACAAAGCAATGCAATGTTTAGAGAAATGCCAATAGGCATGCGGTGTAGCCAGTCAGACGTCGGTTAAGCCGCCAGCAGGGCTGTAAAGAGATTAAAATGTTGGTAAAGTGGTTGAATTAAATGACTGTTGAAAGGATGTGTGTCCCCACTTGAACTGTCCTTCTCGTCAAATTAATTTTCCTAATTATATTGCGTAGGCTTAATTTAGCGGATTTACATTTTATATACTGAGCGAAGTTAAAGCGAATTACGTTGAGGCTGACAAATTTTACGTTTTTAAAATAAAACATGGCTGCTTACTTATTCGGAACACAGTTGCATTGTGTAATTGCATATTTCACAAATAGCTGTAATTGTGATGGATGATTATTGATTAATGGCTTAAACAAATTTTCCATTCTGCATGCATTAAAGAGACTATGATCATCTTTTAAACGCTTTAATGCAAAGTATCAGTCCCTTTTATTTCTAAGTCGTAGGAGATAAAATTATCTAATATGCGAAACTTTGTTAAAAAACGGGTATTTCTTCACGGTTGCGTATAGTGAGTTATGATTTGGAAATAAGAGAATCTAATGCTTTGCATTAATGCGTTTCTTTGTAGTTCAAGGCCTCCTTATGAACAATACTTTTAGTTTTATTATGGAGTGCAGAAGTATAAATAAAAGAGTTGGCGCTCGAAGTTTTGCCAATTAAAAATGCTATAATTTTATCTATTTTTATTTTTTCTATGTATCCACCTTTAGCATGGGTAATAGCAGCAAGCCTGTCCGGGAATGCTTCACAGAATGCACGAATGTGCTATGGTGGTACTTTGTTTCGGTGGCGGTGAAGAGCAATCTAAAAAGCGTTGATTGTCTCTTATTTTCTAGCTGATACTTTGGCCTGAGAATGGACCATATGGAAAAATTCATCAGGTTTAAGTTCGGTTAAGCTGGGGAGTTTTTCTTTCAGAATTCTGAAAAGATTTCGCGATTTTTATGCGATGGTGACGAGTCTTATTGAAACATCCAATGCAGTGCTACAAAACCATCGATGGTACCATCGTTGTTATCGATGGATGCTCTGAAAATAAAATTGTTGTCGGGAAATTTTTGTATTAGTATAAATGAATATAGTTAGCTTCGAGTGCGAAATTGCCCAGTCCATTTTTTTAATTTTACAGGAGATGAAAACAACTTATTCGTGTCATTTTCAAGTAAATCAACATTTTGCGTGTTTTGCGGATTCGAGGATTCGATCTTTATTAAAAGACTTCATATTATTTTGGTTTTGTCGGATTTTCAGTACTCTTTTGAACTTAGCAAATTTTCCTTTCATTGAATATAAACGAGAAAAAATAAATCAAGTTACGTCCTCCTATATTAAAATATGGGTTTTCATAAAAACTGGACTTAGCAACTTTCCACTCAAAGCTAGCGAACTTTCTTACTTTGTTTTATATTAAATTTTCTAATACTTAGTTTAAAAATAAATTAAAAGTTGTATTTTTTGGCTTTTAAATCCGTTCAATTAAAAATGTGAAAATAGAGTAATATTTGAGTACCTCTTTTCCATGTAACTTCGAGTACCTACCCTGTACTACTTATTCGGACATCCGACTCTCAAGCTGAAGCCCAGTCGCCTTTAATGTTTGACCTCGTGATTTATTTTTCGGCATGTCAAAGAGAAGCCTCAGGTAATACTGAAACCTTTTAAATTGAAATGGAAGTTCTCTGGGAATTGATTCCTGCCGTATCCGGTAATAATTCTTGCTTCAACTATTTTTGCCATTATTTTCATTTAAAAAGTTACCTTCACTTAAAAAAGTTCTTGCTCTTTAAAAAGTTCTTTGCTATCGAAAAATGTTACCCATTTTAGATATGGTGCAATGCCTGGTTATTTAAGCAGATACATTTTGCCGCAAAATGATCTAGCTAGGTGGCGCCAGGGTCGAGATATTTTGAAAACCCGTATTTATGCTCTGATTTGTTTCAAATTTGGCATGTTTAGTTGAAGCGTAGTAAGACTTAGATTTAAAAAAATGGAACCGCTAGGTGGCGCTGAGTCAAAATAAAAAGTATATTCGACATAAAATGCAGTTTTTTCGCGTTAAAAACTCGTTGGAAAACAATATTGACAAAACCTTTTCTATGGAAATTTTATTCTTTCACCTAATCAACCAAATTAAATAATTGTTTTGACTAAAATAGCATCAGTTGGGATTAAAAAAAATTAACATAGCAGCCTTGTACACACGTGTCTGCTATTGCTTATTGTACCTTAATACAAGCCCAAATATCGCACACCGTCTTCAAAAGAGACATAACTCAAAACTTGGCATTTGTGAAGCTATGCGCTAAAAATGTACACAGAGCTTTTATTTATCTGTCAGCACAAGCTGGAGCAAATTTTTGTTATAATTTGTTAAAAAAAAAAAAACGAAGGTACAGTCTCCTTATGGCCATATGGTTATCAGGTGCTATTTAAGATATAGTTTTATATAGGAATTGTCGAACTGGTAGGCCATCGCCTTAGCACATACAAGTTAATGAACTAGTATTTTTACTGACTGGTTTGGCTTTTCACTGCAGGCTTACTCTCTTTTGTGCTTTCCTTTTATGCCTGTCTTTATAAATGTTTCAATTTTTAACCAAAAGCAATATGTGTGTACTCGTACCACAGCTTGAACTTGCTCAATTTTTCGTTTTTCGATTTGTGTGAGTTAGCCTCCGTTCAAGCGTTTCATTTATTTTGTAAACTTCCACGCGCAGCTTTGCCATTTCAGTCCTTCTACAAAATTTACAATATACTTGTTCGCGCTGGAAAAGTGACAGGATCAGCAACAAAGCAAACACATAAATTTCTTTCCAATTGACTGCTTGACGTAGGTGGAAAATAGCAAAAAGACAGGCGCTTTAAATTACACCTAAAGCTGAGGTGGTAATTTTTTGTGTTTTTCTTGATATTTGTTCTTTTTTGTCGCGGTAAATTAAAAAAAAAAGTATATACGCTTGTTACCTAACATGTGCGTTAAAACACATAGTACATTTATATGTTAATTTACAACCAGTGTTGCCTGATTTTTTTTGGACCAACCGCCTAAATTGGCAAACAAAAAACGGCTAAACTCTTTCAACTAAATTTACTTATTTTATAATTTGCTAGTAACGTTTGCTTGTTTCTGTGGGGAGGGGTCAGAACACCTAACACAATTTTCTAAGTTTGCGAATAAAACTTCATACCTAATTTAAAATTTTCATAACAAACATTTTATGAACAAAATCCGCGCTACAGCCTTCTTTAGGGAAAATATATTATTTTAAAATAAAAATAAGCAAAATCGGCCCAATTTTATATAACCCTTCCTGACACGACAATTTTCTCTGACAGATTTTGGATCGCTTAGTCAAAATGGAAACATATATATTTGAAATTAAAGAAAACAAGGCAAATAGAAACAAACAAACCGGCAACAAATCGGCCAAATGCCGGCTAAACCGAAATTTCTCTGGCTGTTTGCTATCCCAACCGGCTGAATCCGGCCGGGAAACGGCTAAAATGGCAACACTGTTTGCAACATTTGCATAGACAATTACGTCTTACGAGCTTCATCAATTACATTTTTGTTGTTAATCCCATGGCCTATTTTATGTACCCTAATCAACCCAAACCAAAGGCCAAATATGTATATACATATGTACATACATATACATATTGAGTTATTTTTCCCTTATTTTTACAGCTAAATACTCCTGCACCATTTCCGAAGACGCTAACAAAAATGAAATTTAAAACAACCTTGTAGGCACATGCGCGGACATATACAGACATGTGCGCCTCTAACTACACCAGTTGTTTTCCCACGCACTTATGCGCCCACAATTGGCGACAGAAGCCATCGCCGCTGGTGCATTAGCCGAGACTGCAATAACCGACAAAATGCTGCTGCTGGATGAGGATATCCTCATCACTCAAGCGTACATACTACGCCAATTCGACGCGTTTTAACTTTGATTGATAGTCGCTGGTGGAATGTCAATAGTAGCCACAGAGTGATGCATTCAAGCAGAATATGTCACTAACACTCAGTATCTCAACGGAAAATCTGATATAGTATCTCTTAAATACAGTGCGACTGAATCAAATATGGGAGCTGCCACCGCAACAGCTCTCCATGTCCGTGTTGATGCGGGCATGCAGGGCGGCAGCCTTACCACCTGGACCGTTGTATCACGAAATAAATTTATGCATAAAGCAACACATATCTATTTATTCAACTTGGCTGTTTCCGATTTGTTGGTGCTGCTGTCAGGTGAGTTTTGATAGAGATTAGTTTACAAATAGCATTCATGAATTGGAAAAAGAAAAGGGGCGATAGTCTGTGAACGAGTTCGAAAAGGTATTTTTAAGTTTGAAAGTCGAAGCGAAAAAGAGAAAAAATATACGCTTATTTTTTTATTTTCGCATCAAATGATACGAATGTTTTGCGACTGCGAATGTTTACATAAGCAGAGAATCCACTCTAATATTGTTTAGATGGCTCTAAGTCTGTCTATCCAGCGTGCGGCTTTTAGCTTCAGGCGCTAAACGGTTAAGTACTAGTTGCTATATTGATGGGCCTTCAACAAGTACTGCTGAAAGTCGTTTAACAACCGAGAAATAATTTTAGATTCCTCCAGCGAAGGCGAATGCTCGGATGTAGAATCTGGAGACATTGAAAAATGTGAAATTAAAGCTCATTTCAAGGCCTATCTTAAAGAAAAACGAGCTTATCTCGGTGAAAATCCTCTCGATTGGTGAAAAGCTAAACTAAGATATGACAAATTGACAGATCTGGCTCGCAAGTATTTGGGAGCTCCACATGCCAGCATTATATGGCCTTATATAAGAGCCTCTAAGAAATCGCCGTTTTGAACTTTGTCTACTAGATTGAAACTGTATATAGGTTAAGCACTCGTTCAATGTTCTAATAATTTGCAAAATTTTCAAGTAATAAAAACGATGACTTAAGCTGATTATAGCTTTTTTAATAATATTACTAACATTCGCATTCGCATCTTTGCATTCCGAAAATTCGCATTCGCATTGGCAAATGTGAAAAATATGATACTCGAAACATACATACATATGAGCACCAATTAGTTTCATTTAAAGTGCATATTTTTAGGCGCAATATTTAACTTATTCTGGCGCGGCGACATCTACCTCTAGAGTCTTCTTTGATATAATACCTCTGTTAGATAAGGTGTCTGGACACATATAACATTGTGAGTTGATAAAGCGTTGTAATAAAAGTCGAGCTAAGTTTTACAAGTCCATCGAGCGTTTTATAACTGGATGTGAATAGTTTCTGAAAATATTAGCAAAGTCCGGGTTGGTTTGAATTCCCACAAAATTATTGCATAGTGTTATCTGATTTCGCAGTCCCACATGGACGCACATCTTCCGGCCACTGGTGAATCCTCTACCATGTGTCCTGCCATTGTCAATTTCTCTATGCAATTCTTTGGCTGCAGATCACTTATCACATCCAGCTGCCCACTTCTTCACCGATTTATGATACCGAACCAGTAGAACCTCTCTTTAATTTTCTATGCGGTTCTTCTGCTTCCCATGTGTTCTCTATGACTAGCTTTGTGCAACTTGTGCAATTCAACTTCTTTATTTTCTTTTCGAAAGAGTAACAACGCCTGCGGGCTTATATCTGGGGGAGTTATTTCACTGCACCGGTTAATGATGACCTTAAACACTATACTTAAAAAATATATATTCCATTTTTACGATATTTCGACATAAGTATGAGCTTGCTGCCAATATGGCGGGAAATGATAAATGTTATCCAATAACCGTGAAATTCTCTTCATACTGTTGATCTACACAAGACTGAAAAAATTTATATTACCACTCTTATTTTAAAATTTTCAAGCTTATTCCGCAGACTGAAAATATTGTCGCAGAGAACGAGGATTTATTTTCTAGAACAAGAGAGTAAAATAGCACATTTCAAGACCTATACAAAATGTAGTATTTTTCGACCCGCCCTATTGTCCATAAACCACTATTTTGATACGATTTACACTAAAAGATTAATTGTAAAATCAAGCCACTTTACAACGATTTTATCTACTTGCAATGTTCTTTCTCTTTATTTCTCTTAACTTGTAACTGGTGCCATAATTTACACATGTATGTACTTATATTGCCTTTCTAAGCAAAAAAGTAATGGAATTTGTTAGCCACAACAGGTATGTTGTCCACTATCCATTCGCTTGGCCAGGCAACATTCCAGTTCAGTAATACTTTTTATTGCCTCTTGGATTTTCCTTCATTAGTAAAATATACTTCTATAAAAATTCACCGGCGATGAAGTCAAGAAAGGCTATAAAAAGTAAAAGCATAGCTAAGCCTATAAATTCCAGAAGTGCTGCAATTTACGAAATACTAATGAACCAAAAATGGTTAAATTGAATAAAATAAAGCCTATGAAAAATGCACGTAAGTAAACACTACAAATAGCAAATGGAATACATACTTATATACATAGGAGATACACAATTAGTAACGAAACATACTTATCTACACGGACAACAGTTACGGAAATCATACTTGCATATATTTACTATACATATGTACATATGTATCTCTGCATGAAAAACAAAACATATTTATCACTAAAATTTTGCAAGAAAATTTTCAACTACTGAAATAAAAAAAAAGGGCTCATATATCAGACGCCCAAAAAATGCCAAATATTCCACAAAGCATAAAATATTTCAATTTTTTTTTTTTTTTTTATATCAGGATGAAGGAAATAAATATGTAAACAAATATTTCAAGCTTGCAAAGCAGAAAGTATTCTTCTTGTACACCCCCCAAGTCATCAATCAAAATGGTATTTTATGTGATTTCTGAAAGCCTGAAAATGCTGCTAACTTCTGGTCTAGTCCTCACAAATTCATATATAATAATTTACATAAACATCTACTAACTGCCAATGATGCTTGAATCCTATAGAAACAAAAAACAACTTAATTTCGACACTTAATTTTGTGAATAAATAAATATTTACCAAAAGTTTTGCAAATATATAAATGTCAGTCGCAGAATTGTATGCAAATAAATATCGTAAATCAAAGGAAAATAAGTATGTTTATATACGCCCATATGTAAAGGCAGGTACTAAGTATTTACATATACATATGTATATGTACCTAAGTTGTTTTTAATCCCTCAAAGTAATTTTGTGCGTTTACTGCCTACGCATTCAATCAAAAGGAAACATTTGTCTCTAAAAAAAAAAAAATGTTACGCAAAAGTTCCTAGCGGCAAATCTTCTTATGATTAATGTGCTTAGTATACACATAGTACTAAAAAAATAATGCAAACAAAGTTGAGCTAAAAAGCATAACAAATATTTGTAAATAAATTTAAAGCAAAAAAATATAAAAAAACATTTGCTTCGCAAAACTCACTCTGCTGGAAAAAATATCGAATAACAGGGATTTGATTGTCTGCGATTTACGTAAATTTTGTCAAAGGCAAAGGCCAAAATTTGAGAAAATATTATAATAGGAAAGGGACTTGACAAAAAGCTCTTCAACAAAGTTATTATAAGGGATTTGTGTCACATATAAATATGTATAAAAAAAAGATTAGCCATTTGCATACACTATTTAGATTTTATGCTTTACTTAAACTAATTTGAGGGTTTATTTATCTTCTTAGGCAAGGTCTAAGCACTCTTGACATGACAAATAACGAAGCTGCACTTTAAATCCCTACCGAAACTTTAGTAATTTTAAGGCTTAGTAATGTTGGCTCACCCTAATAGGTACATATATGTACATAAATATTTACATATGTATATTTACAAATACGTTGGTGTATAATTTTCTAGGAAACACACCTGCCCTACTAACGTATTTGCAAATATATACATATTTGCGAGCATCCAACACCAATAAACCAATACTTTTCACTCAGCATCGTAAAGCTTGCAAGCCCATGCATACAAAAACATCAAAATATGCTTGCATATGCCATCAGTTGTATGTACATTAATAAATATGTATAAATATGTTCCTCTTATTTTAACACGCTTCACAGGAATGAATTAAAAATTTCCATCAAATTTCGATTCCATCAAAAACTGTGAAAATATCCAATTATTACATTTGCTAAAATGAAAAAAAAAAATATGTTTTGTCAGTCAGCTTCTTTACTAAGCTTATTGACTTTGAGAACGTTAAAGAGAAAAACAAACAACAATTCAACTGATACCTATTAAAATCTTTCCGCAAATGGCAATGGAAAGTTTGTTTGGGTCGCTTCTTGTATTGACAAATGGTACCTGAAATTGTACTCAGTATGAGTTATTTTTTGAACGTAGTAAAATGAGTGAGTAACTGGGCGTATGAGTAATTTTTTGACTCGAATGAAAAGAAGGCTGTCTTCCAAAACGTTTCAATACAATGTTTGGATACTGTTATACTCCGATATTCAAACTGTTTATATATGCAGAGTTGCAACACATTACAACCATATACCTAGCATGTTTTAAATATTCAATATAGCAATGAAAAAGTTTTCTGAATTTTCCATATTTAAAACACAAATGGTAATCAATAGCCGCCATCGAAGCATCAACTTGGTTTCTGATGCGCTGATTGCTCTAGCGATGCGTTTCGATAACTTTTCGGATGCGTTTTGGAAAAGTATACATTGTCAGTATTTTGTAGTTCGGCGTTATGGAACATTATACTTTGTACGTATGCAAAGCAATTGACGTTCTGGAAGTCAGCCGAATATGCCATGCTCCTGTCTTCCTACGACCCTTTGTTTATTTTTTTTACAACGCTTTTATCAACTTACAATGTTGTATGTCCACACCACCATTTTTACTATAAATACAGCAAAGGTATTTATGGCAAAGTCTAGATATCAACCTAGTCATATAAAAGACATAGACGACTCTAGATGTCGCCCCGCTGGAAGAAGTTAAATATTGCGTCTAAAAACATGCACTACATACGCTACAGCGGAAATGGACGGCGCGGGTAAGTGCATCGGTATTGGTAATTTTAGCGTTTACCCTTGAACGATACATACAACATATCATCAATTTCGGTAAGTGCGAGACGAAATAAATTTGTTTTTGTAATGTGTAATGTTTTTCGTGCGAATAGTTTCAGAGCTGACACTTTCATTTCACTTTATTTTAATGCGTTTCTACAATAATGTTTTCGTTAATTGACTTGGGTTTTTTTTTTCTTAAGTAAATAGTAAGCAAGCGCAACGAAAGGTAGACGAAGA